CACCTTTAGTCCACTGAACCTCTCCATTTTCTTTTCGAATCCACTTTCAACTTTCCTTTCTTCTATTCTTCATCCCAATGGGCAGCCAAAAGATAGCAACCAAAACCGGCGAACGAATATGCGTGGTAATGGTTGTTCAAACTGAAACTGAAACTGAAACGTTTGTAAGCCATGGGTGAGAAGCAAGTGAACCGTAGATACTGACCACGCAAGGTTACTTTTCTGTGGATAGAATGCCGTAATGTGCCATCTAAGCGCCTTGGGATTCTAATATTCAAAAATGCTAGAGAATCTTTGGTTTCTTCTTTATGGGATACGGAAAGATGTGGATGAAGAGCGATAAATTGTTTCAAAAGGGATTCAAAATGTTCACGCTCCATAAGATGAAAAATATCGCCCACAAAGCGTCTGTACAAGGTGAACGGAAACATATTATTGGACTTGATCTATTTTTTTGAATTCGAACAGCCCCTGTCTATCTATACATGTTCGTTCACTGGAATTTACAAATCCTATGTGCTATAAATGTGCTTGTCTGTTTCAGGTCAACGATTGAGAAGACTAAACATCTAGCGACATATTTCTTCTTTCGGTCTTGACGCGATGAATAAATAGAGACGGAGTGTTTCAAATACATAATTTTCCCGTTTGTTCATTGATTTGATTCGCTGATCGGAGTTTAACTGGTCACCTGAACGTGGTTCCTTATTTTCGTTACGTCTAGCGAATTTAAATGGATAAATTCCATGAATCCATGGGTATCCACCGTTTGGTTATGCTCACGTACAGTTTAAGCTCTAAAACTTGAAGGACGTGCGTACGTGTGTGAACCCATATAGCTTCAGCAATCAAAGTTGTGGTATAGAGCCATGGGATAGCAACGACATCTGTCTACCACCGACATGATCACTCTCTCTTCGTCTATCTTCCTCAAGTGTTTCTCGTTTTATAATCTGACAGCTAACTGCATCTGTCAGGAATCTGTTTGATCGTAAACGACATGATGACCAGAATATCGGATAAATCAATAGGTTTACCTAATTCAGTACCGACAGTTCCTTGTTCAACCATTTCACGCACTGAGTGATAGTCATGTCGGATCCACGTGATCCGAGCTTCCTTGGCTATTAGCACTAACTGCACAATTCTCACATCAATTGTCGTGTGTCTGTGTGTGTAATCATTGTATTGCATACGTTCCGGACTGTTTAGACCGTCTTCAACTCACGTTATTTATTACACGACGGGGCTTAAAACAAACAACAGAGACTCTAAAAACGAGGATAAATGAGGGGGGGGGAGGAGCATTCAGTTAAGAACCCATTTGCGTTTCAAAAGAAAGGTTGTAAGGGGATTGAAATAGTATCATAGGATGAGTGTCCCAGAATTTCGCAGTTCAGTGAAAAACAAAGGCTGCAAGATTGAAGGTAAATTTCTCGGGAACTTCACAACCGGAGCCTCCGGTTAACCAAAGTTTTATTCGCAGGCAGTAGGAAAACCACAATCATTTTTGGGCCGGTTTCCAGTTACTCTGATCATACGTCCTTTAGACAGGGTCAAATGTCCAAAGTCCTCAGTACACCCCAATGCCTAATACAGCCCGTGACCAAGGTCACAATCAGGAAGGTGTGGTTCGTACGCCTTAAGCTGATGCGTTTGGAGTCTAAACGTTTGGTAAAAATTCATCTTCGGGGACCGACTTCAAGATATTGTAGTTTTACTCATCTAGTAACCAATTTTTGTGAGTTCATCACCACATTTTAGTCCTCGACCTCACTGTTTGACGCAACAGCCACTAGTAATACTGTTTTCCCGCTCCTGATGTTAATAGTGATATCGTTCTGATGGACAATAAATCCTTTCAACCATATATACATATATATATATATATATATATATATATTACGCAGATCTGGGGCCGGATTGTGTGTCTAATAAATCATGGTACAATAATCTTTATAAAACGAAAAACGTTCCATGATTCCATTCAACTTGTCTTGTTATAAAATAGTCCCAAGAACTCATCTAATCCAAATAAAGAAAGTTACCATGTTAAGTATCTGTTGTGAATTATGAGATTTTCCTATTATTTCGCACCTAGTTTGTTCTGTAGTCACTCGGTAGGCTATCCATATTCTGGTTTTTTGTTACTCTCCGACGATATCTGTAATTCACTATTCGTTTGAAACAATCACAACCAGTTTGTGTAATTTGTGTCAATGCATTTCACCAATCAACCGGCATCTTTCAATGTACCCTAAATTTTACGTTTGAACTACTTACGGAAAGAAAACACTATCGTTATCTCAATTCGCTCATTCATCCCCCTGTGGCTAATGTTTACATTTAGTCTGTATTTCACAATTTTTTCCCAATGATATAGACAGACATTTTATCCTTCTTTCAACTTTTTATCTCGGTTTCCTTCTTGTGCCGTTCTGTTCGGTCTGTAGCCATTATCGAATGTTCGTTTGGATAACCTTCTCCAACAACAAGACGACCTGTACCCGTTCACTCAGTACATGAAATCAATTCGTTCGGTTGAACCATTGACCGCAGTGCTACTTATGAGTAAGTCGGTTTACTTACCACTCCTTCATTCTACTTAAAATCAGGATGCATTGAAAAAAATCCATTTTGAAGTTGATGCGTTACCTCAGAGATGATTTGTCGTATGTGATGCCTACACAATTCGAACACAATGGCCCATGACGCAGATCAAAACGTTTCTTAGTTTGATTGTTACTTTCTGTTTGACTTCGTTTATTATCATAATCAAAATTAAAATTATTAATTAGTTTCACGCACTTTTGGGTCCAGACTGTGTCTAACAAGTTACAGTACAATAATCTTTATCAGGAAAAAAATGTTCCATGGTTTGCCTGTGTGTGCGATACTACCAGGTTGTACTGGCCAAAGCAGTTAAATTTTACCGAGAACTTCATGACCGGAGCCTTCAGCTAGCCAAAGCTTTACCCGCAAGACATCGGGGTGGTATATGAAATCTGCTAGTAACCCTTAACTTTTAATTTAACGAATTTCTCCTACACGATGATAAGTCATCTCAGTCGTTGGATCCATGAACAATGATAATTACCGAGTAAATTAGTATCCCGAGTACCAGAAACCCTTCTTAATGTGCTTAGGCACTGTCCCTTATTGTTCAGGTACGTCTGTCCAGTGAAGCCCTGCTCACCGATTCACGATTAGACGATTGTTATTTTTTTGTGAATGAATGACTTGCTCGGTAGCTGTGAGCTCCCTTAACCACCTCACTGCGGTCGTTGAATTCACACAGGTGTTTTCTCATTGTGGTAATTTATCGTCAATGAACATCTATTCAACCGAGTGGGATAATCACAAATGACATCTGGATTGTGCTGTTCACTATGAGTCAGAGGTTCATCAAGATGTGTTGCTTCAGGCCAGTTCAGTTCATTTTCTGCAACCATTAATAATGCACTTTATTGCCCCGGTTTTAGTTGCTGTCTTTTGCCCTCCCACTTTAATAAAAGAGCAGAATGAAGATCGGAATGTTGCGAGCAAATTCAAGCGGAAGATAGAGAATTGATATAGACTGAGATTGCAAGAGTAGATGCATGAGACCAACCATATCGCTCAGTATCTCTAACCACCGGTGACCATGATCTCGGGGTCCCCATCCAGGGTGCCTAAAGGGATCCAGTCTCCTGTTCAGGGTTTTCATACCCTCCTGCCACGTCTTAGTTTGACCGTCCTTGATCTTTTTCCAACTGCTGCCTGCCTCGGCAAACATCGCTCGCCTAGACAACCTATCTGTTGACATGCGTAAAATGCCCCAACCAGTGTATTCTATTGAGGTGGATTACTTGCTCCAGTGGACGACCCCGATAACCTAAAACTCTACGCCTAACCTCAGCATTGCTCGCCCTGTTTCCTCATAAGACTCGTGCAATGCGACGTAGACAGCGGTGTTCGAACACCGACAATCCATTTTTATCCTGTTCCCTTAGTGGCCAAGTCTCTGCACCGTAAAGCAGCACTGGTCGAATTGTTGCAGCATATACTCGACCGTTCACAGACAGACGGATGTCGCGACGGTGCCACAGGTATCTCAAGTTGGCAAATGCCAACCGAGCCTTCTGTATGCGCGCCGTTACTTCATCTGTGATGCGTCCGCCAGGTGAGATATAGCTG